CCCCCCCTCCCTACCCCTTGTCAAAAATGTACCCCCTCCCCTCATCCTTCGATCCTTGAAGGGATCAAGATCCTGCTGCGTCAAGTTGGATTCGTCACTCCGCGTCTGACATTTCACTGTACCCATTTTAGTGTACGCAAATTGTGTAAATAAACTTGGAACAATTGCGTATTAGTTAAATAATCTTCTAAACGAGCACATTTAAAGACAAGCGTAGAAGCATCTATGTGCAATATAACCATATATATATATACAGACAGGAACCAAAAAGCGAGAAGAATGAAAATACAGAAAACTGATGGACCAAAAATGCCAAAGTGCAACAATAGCAAATACTGCAGTAAGAGCCAGAAACTCTGGAATAGGAAGACGACATTAAAGTAAAGCCAACCGTTTTACTATTGATTTCTGTGTCTCTTTTTCATTAAACTATTCAAAATCAAAAAAAATTGAGAGTTCATACTCGGATCTTCCTTTTCCAGAGGTTTCTGTTTATCACTGTATTTTTTGGTCGTAAGCCGAACGAAGACCTGAACACCAACAAAACCCTAATCAGAAAAAAATATATTAAGATAAGCTAAAAAGATTGTTTAAAATTACCGACACTTTAAATGATTTGATTATCTTTTTCAGTAGCTTATCTTACGGCTCTTAAATATATGTAATACGATGGGAATCAACTTTTTTGTCCCACTACTAACAAGGTGTAAAAAGTAAGGACCAAGATAAGTAGATACATAAAACCTTACACTTCACTAATACCACCCAAACACTGGTATAAAACCTGATATCAAATCTCCTTTAATTGGACTCAAAACATAGAGCACTATCAGAGCAACAAAACAACACGCAGAAAGGAACTGACTTTCCTCAAACTCTAATTTTCAATTATCAATTAAAGAGACTGTTTATAATATAGTTACAACGGATGGAGATGTGCATCGTTTTTGTGAATGAATGAAATTTTTGATACCGAACGAATTTTTTCGTGAACGATGATGTTGTTAAGAAAAAAACGAACAAATTGACGAACCATCGTTCAGAGAAATGAAAAAAAAACTATCGTGTTTGGGAAACGAACGATTTTATTTAACAACCGATTTTGCTGAATGAACGATTTTACAGAACAATCTTTCAATGGGAAAACTAACGAAAAAGATGGAAAATGAACGATAATTTAGAGGACTAACAAAATTATTTGTTTTTGAAAGATTAAAAAAAAACCGAACGAAATGGTCCGTTCACGAACGATGAACGAACGCTATGAAAAAGCCGAACCTGTTCATCTCTAAAAAAGTTAAATCATACCGGATACAAAGTAGATCACTTTAAACCTTGTCAATTTCTGAGCCTACATATCGATTAACGATGATAGTAATAGTATTAAAGATCCTTGCGTGGGTCCGTCCAAGTGTACGATTTTTGAATGAAGTTGACGAACTTATATCTTTTCAGGTTATCTCTCCTGGTTCTCAGATATATATGTTCAGATTTCCAGTGATCCTTCAATCAACGATGGTAATACCAAATTCACACTTATGCCTTTGAAAGCTGTGTCTAATCATCGATAAATCAAATGTCGATGTTAAACAGTTTAATAAAAATATTTTTTTTCAATTGTAGGTAGCGCATTTCTATTGCAAAAAATGTATAAATGATCATAACTTATCACCTTCAAATCTAGAAAGCGACAATATCTACAACATTATTGATCAGGTAAGTGTTACGATGGTGCCGTTTGGAATCGGACATTGTTATCTTTGCATGGAGGGTCACTTGAAATTACGCTTACAGTCCCTTCTTAGGGAAACATGTGTGTAAATGGAGACAATCCCTTCAAACCTTATAATGAATTAAAGTAAAGGTTTTACGAGGATTATAAATTTACAATTAAACCTTGTTTACTCAAATTATTTGCAAAACACTTAAACCTTAAAATTCAATATGTAATTATAGAGTTTTCGAAAACCGTTAAAAAAATAAACATGTTTTGCAATATTTTGTCTTATGGGCATTGCAAAAAAAACTATGATTTTAATTTATAGACAGAATTGAAGCTTGGGTTCATGCTGATAATTTCAAGTTTTTGTGTGTCAAGAGGATAAAAGGTTTAAACGGCGGCCTAAAACCATGAAAAATGTATTTTTAAATAGATGCAGTTAAACCATTATACGGTCCAACTCGTTTTTCCAAAGACAAGTCTAATTGCAAGCAAAGACGCCCATAATTTTGGTAGAAAATATTAGGGAATTGTTGATATAGAAACATGAACACTCACCACAAATTCAAATTGTCTAATCCTTATATCTTTGTAACTTGCATGTGATCTCTGAATATTCCACATTTGCATAGATTAAATACATTTTTAATTACATTTTAATTTTTAAATTGTCTATCCACTTATAGCACTTCCAACACCGATTGTGCCCATCTATATATAAATTTAGTCTGTTTGTTTGTTTGTATCCAATAAACGTCAAAACGGCTGAACCGATTGGTACCAAATTTTTTGTGGGACCTCATGTGACCCCACGGAAGGTTTATGGATGATTCAAATTTTAAAAACTGGCCTCCATCAAAATTTTGAAAATCCACAAGAAGATATCTCAAAATCCGCGAACTTTTTTTGTTATTGTTTTAAAATACATAGAAAGAGAAAATAATTTCACATTTAAAATAGAAGATAGTCGCGAAGCGCCCTGAAAGCTTAATTCCATTTAAAGGTGTTAACGGCCCTGGTTGAGTTTAAATATGATTAATATTCTCATTATTTTATCTTGTTTATCAAATCTGATCTCTGCATACCGAGTACTGTTTTTACCAAGGCTTATATGCTTATCAGAATATGTTTCGTTTAACCGCTGTCTACTAATGTATAAAAATATGTCGGGGGGAGATTTTAATCCGAGAAACGATTTAAACTTTAAACACCTCATAAAAAGAACTTGCTGAATTTAAATCTGAAATAATATTTTCTTTCTGGGGGGGAGGGGTAATTTTGTATTTAAAGTTGTCTTTAATTTTTGTGGCATTTAATATTTCCCATTAATTTACCAATGAAAAGAAAATAAGATAAGATATCAATTCTATCAATACAAGAATATATCGATAGAAAAAAAGTTTACATATCTTAAAACGTACAAATATAATTTTTAATGTTTTTTCGTGGATACCTTCTTTTTACTATTCAATGCAATATTTGAATTATATTTTATATTTTCCCTAATTTAATTCAATGATACGGTAAAAGTTGTATCCTCGTTGTGCATTCTTAACTGCAGGAAAGGTTACAGCAGAGATTTTAAACATTTACAGTTTTAACGGCAAACAAATCCATGCACCTTTTTTTGACAATTTATTAGTCTTTTAAAATAGTTTCGCAAAATAAAATGTGTATTTTTTTAACTAATAAAAGTTTAAGCACCGGTTACTTAGTTCTCTGCAAACATTCATAATCTCTGATTCAAGTATTGAATATCCGAGTTTTTTGTAAATACTAATAAAATCGGAGAATGTTCATTAATTGCTGATATCTCAATAAAAACTCACACTCTCTGAGCTAAAGTAAGGATAACTAAGATCTCTGTACATATTTATACTCTCTGAGTTGAAGTATTGATTACTGAGTTCTCTGTATATATCTATACTTTCTGAGTTGAAGTATAAATTACCGAGTTCACTGTATATATCTATACTTTCTGAGTTGAAGTATTTATTACTGAGTTCTCTGTATATAATTAATCTATACTCTCTGAGTTGAAGTATTGATTACTGAGTTCTCTGTATATATCTATACTCTCTGAGCTAAAATATTGATTACAAATTGATCTATGCTTCCATATTTTAAACTCAAGATGCATATCTAAATAAAGAATGCAAGTGTACACAAGACTAAGCCCAAAAAAATTCCAATTCTACAGTTTAATGTTATACAAGTTTACAGTAACCACTGCGCAGACTGAGCTCAAAATTTAAATTGAAATTTATATAGGTTTTGAAATAAGAGAATCGAAAAAAAGGGAGAATATGAAGAAACTAAATAACATAATATTTCATAACAAAAATATTGATATCTACAAAACTGCCTAAACCCATTCGTGAAATTGGTTTTCATAACGATACCCTGTCTTAAGTTTTGGTCTCTGGGCCAAACTATTTAATTCTGAACATCAATCCGGAAAATCAAGAATCAATAATCAAGACCGGGCCAAATTTGAAGCGTCAACGTACTATTTTTAAACCCTACACATTTAGTTCTACTTTTTTGATTCATAGATGAATCTTATTTCGAAATAAAAAAAAATAACCAGGAATTTAAAAATTCATAATATTATCTGTTTGATATATCTATATTGATATATATTCATATGTGTACCTGGCCGAGTTCTTGGAGTGATGCCCAGGATAAGATATGCTTTCTATGAGTTCGATGCAACCGCCGCTTATCTAAAATAGTGATTATTTGCGCAAATAAAACATAATCAATGATTTAGGTTTGCTAGATTTGTATTTGGAACAGAGTTAGGTCTCGTTATAGACTCATAATCAAGTTGGATTTGGAATTTGGTTAGGTATCATAAATAAGTTGAATAAGGAAAAGGGCTAGGTTTCAAAATATAATTGATTTGGAATAGGTCTAGGTTTCATAATATAGTTTGAATTGGAACTGGACTAGTTCTTTAAATTAAGTTGGATTTGGAACAGGGTTAGGTTTCATAATCAAATTGATTTTGGAATAGGGTTAGGTTTCAAATCAATTTGGATTTGGAACATGGTTAGGTTTCATATCAATTAGGATTTGGAACAGGGTTAGGTTTCATAATATAGTGGGATATGGAACAGGGTTAAGTTTCATATCAATTTGGATTTGGAACAGGGTTAGGTTTCATAATATAGTGGGATATGGAACAGGGTTAGGTTTCATATCAATTTGGATTTGGAACAGGGTTAGGTTTCATAATATAGCGGGATATGGAACAGGGTTAGGTTTCATATCAATTATGATTTGGAACAGGATTAGGTTTCATAATATATGGATATGGAACAGGGTTAGGTTTCATATCAATTTGGATTTGGAACAGGGTTAGGTTTCATAATATAGTGGGATATGGAACAGGATTAGGTTTCATATCAATTTGGATTTGGAACAGGATTAGGTTTCATAATCAAGAAAGTTTTGGAATAGGATTAAAATTCATAAATAAGACAGATTTGGAATAGGGTTAACATTCATAACCAAGATGGATATGGAATAGGATTAGATTTTATAATCAAGAAGGATTTGGAATAGGGCTAGGTTTCATAATCAAGAAGGATTTGGAATAGGGCTAGGTTTCATAATCAAGATGGATTTGGAATAAGATTTGATTTTATAATCAAGATGGATTTTGAATAGGATTTGATTTTATAATCAAGATGGATTTGGAATAGGGTTAGTTTCATAATTAAGTTGGATTTGGAATTGGATTAGGCTTCATAAATAAAAAGGATTTGGAATTGGGTTAGGTTTCATAAATAAGAAGTATTTGGAATTGGGTTAGGTGTCATAAAAAAGAAGGATTTGTAGGTTAGGTTTCATAAATTAGAAGGATTTGGAATAGGGTTAGGTTTCTAAATAAGAAGGATTTGGAATTGGGTTAGATTACATGAATAAGAAGGATTTGGAATTGGGTTAGGCTTCATAAATAAGAAGGATTTGGAATTTGATTAGGTTTCTAAATAAGAAGGATTTTGAATTGAGTTAGGGTTCTAAATAAGAAGGATTTGGAANTAGAAATATGAGGGGGGGGAGTGAAAAAGTAGATGGAGGCGGACAAGGAGATCTTTCTTGGCTAACTGGTATTTTTCAGGATTATAATATGGTTGTTGCATTAGTTGCATACAAACTTGCATTTGATACAAAGTCCTAACTTAATGCAGTATTGCATTTACATATAGCGAAAATGCAATTGTTAAAAGAAACTTTGATTAAAGCATTAAGCTGGGTTCCCTAGCTAGAGCTGATATATTGTGGTTTGGTTTACACAAATAATCATAACTTAAAGAATTTGATTCTCTATTTGTCAAGAAGTGGATGTTATCTAAACATTGTTTACTAAAAGTTTACTTGATTTAAATGTTTACTTGCAATAGATGGTTCTCCCTGTATAAATGTTTAGCTGCAATATATAGTTCTCCTTGTATAAATGTTTAGCTGCAATAGATGGTTCTCCCTGTATAAATGTTTAGCTGCAATAGATGGTTCTCCCTGTATAAATGTTTAGCTGCAATAGATGGTTCTCCCTGTATAAATGTATAGCTGCAATAGATGGTTCTCCCTGTATAAATGTTTAGCTGCAATAGATGGTTCTCCCTGTATAAATGTTTACCTGCAATATATGGTTCTCCCTGTATAAAATCTTTGGTTCTCCCTGTATAAATGTTTACCTGCAATATATAGTTCTCCTTGTATATAAAATGTTTAGCTGCAATAGATGGTTCTCCCTGTATATAAAATGTTTACCTGCAATAGATGGTTCTCCCTGTATATATAATGTTTACCTGCAACAGATGGTTCTCCCTGTATAAATGTTTACCTGCAATAGATGGTTCTCCCTGTATATAAAATATTTACCTGCAATAGATGGTTCTCCCTGTATATAAAATATTTACCTGCAATAGCTGGTTCTCCCTGTATATAAAATGTTTACCTGCAACAGATGGTTCTCCTTGTATAAATGTTTACCTGCAATATATGGTTCTCCTTGTATATAAAATGTTTAGCTGTAATATATGGTTCTCCCTGTATAAATGTTTACCTGCAATAGATGGTTCTCCTTGTATTAGGATAATTGCTTTACACTCAGGCAGCTTATGTTGTATCAACAAAACCTGAACAATAACAAGTCGTAATTTCGAATGACTCTACATTCATAATGTGTCATGTCCGATTTAAAACACTTTTCAAGCTAAAAATCAGCGATATCTTTCACAATATTGGTAACATAAAGGTTTAAATAGTATCCTTGTTAATCAAAAAAAATCAAAAATACACTTTTAAAAAGTGTAATGTCATCTCAATATTCCACAGTTTTACAGAACTTCTGACTGAAGCAATATTTATAAAAATATAGATTTTTTTTGCAAAATTTCAGCTTGAAACTTCTTAACTGGCAGAACGGATTTAATTCTGGTGAACTAATCCGAATTAGTCTCTCCTGTCTAGTTCACCCATAAAATTCAATTTCACAGCTATACTATAGAATTCCATCTCGATTATTCTGTAAGTAAGACTTCGCTTTCGTCCAGTAATATTATTTTAACCAACCTTTAACAAACGCGTCCTGTCCTAGTTAGTGCTGTAAATATGCCTAGTTTTTGCTCCAAGGCAGCTTACTGCCTTTATAACTGCCTAATTTATTCCTGACTTTACACTTTGATAATTGTTACAAAGTTGCTAAGTTACAAACTTAAAATTGCAGAGTTCATAAACTTTAACTTTCGCATATATAACTTAAACCATTACTACATATATAGTTTCAGGTTTGAAGGAATTAATATGCGTAAACTTTATGATTTAAAAACCCATTTAAGCCTACACACTTGAATATAATTTACTTGCTCTATAAAACAGTTCTTAAATCCATTAGGGTAATTTGACAAAACAAGTTTTGCAGAGAGGTTTTCAAACATGAAGGAAAAAAGGGATTGTTCACTTTAATAGTTTTCAAACATGAAGGAAGAAAGGGATTGTTTACTTTAATATACAGGGTCACCCACAAAGGAGAAGACTTTAGATACGGCTGTACAACAATTATCTTTTTTATTACGGTTTGGGTTAATTGCAACTGTAAACTTCTTCTTTTGGTTCTTTTTTAAACTAATTTATATATTATTCGTTGACTGTACTATATAAAGACATGAGACTAAATTCCACCATCAAATAGTCTCATGCATTGTGGATAACCCTGCATAGCATAAGAACATGTTAAATATTTTGAAATAATCTTTGAAAGCTATATTAAATCTCAACCTTTTTCAATTGGTGCTCTTGATCAACAACTATTATATCAGCTTTAGAGTCTAATGCTACTTTAGCAATTTCATCTGCAGTCAGACTAGTTTGAATTCCCACTGATATTCCTCTAAAAAACAAATTAAATTATTTTATTGGTAATGCGTTTTTGCAAAATTAGAGGCTTCTTACTTAACAAAAATGCTTACCCTGCCATGATGGCGGCCATGTTGCATATAATCCATTCTGGAGAATTGGCGCCAATTATTGCCACTGAGTGGTGGCGCTGCAAACCGGTTTCTATGAAAGCCCTTCCAACTACCTGGAATACAAATACAATTTTACAAATTTGTTGTATGTTCCTTTATATTGATTACTATTTTCACATTTAGTCAAATCCATTCTTTTACAATGTAAAAGTACATTTTAGTTATCACACTGTGTTCTTGTCGGGTTACATTTGTTGCATAAAGCATGCCTTTTCAACTATGCCTGACTGGACAATACAATGGGCTGCATATACAGCGTATAGTACGTGTTGTACGGTGTACCGGCACGGATCAATCGAAATGTATGGTATAATGTGTCAAACAGATTTAACATTTCAGTCCTTATCCTAGCCAGCTATGACTTTCCATAAGTGCAATTTGAACAATTACGCATAAATTGTTCGTATTTTCTCTTTTTATTCTAATGCAGGCAGTTGGGCTTTAATTGAAAAAAATACTCTGTAAATTTGAAGATGGTTGAATTATGGACAAAATAGCGATTCAATTAAAATTAAAGAAAATGAACCCATCTCCTCCTTGTACTATAACCTGTATCTCTTCGTACAGCTGATTGTAGTTCCATGTTTTCCAAGTTCCGGCTTCCGTTCCCCGGATCTTCAAAGCTATTACTTCCGGATACAGTTCCGCAAGATCCTGTGATATAAATATATAAATATAAATATTATATTTTATATATGATAAAGTTCTCCGCTAATATAAATATATATTTATCTTTATAATAATTCCCTTTGCTCATATTTAACAATTTGTATATCTATATATAAATTTGGCTTGTCTGTTTGTTTGTTTGTCTGTTTGTTTGTTTGTATCCAATAAACGTCAAACCGGCTGAACCGATCGGGCCCAAATTTTTTGTGGGACATCTAGGGAGCCCAGGGAAGGTTTATGAATCATCAAAATTTCAAATATTTGTCTCTATCAAAATTCGATCGTCATTAAATTTTTTAAAATTTTGAAAATCCGCGAAATTTTTTGTAAAAATCCGCAAATTATTTTTGTTTAGTTTTACGATGTACACAAAGAGAACATGTTTACAATTAATTTAGAAGATGGGCGCGAAGCGCCCTCTAAGGCTAGAAAGAAGGGCGCGAAGCGCCTTGAATTTCTAGTATGTATATATGTTAGCTATAGCTGTCCAAACAGCTGGACCGAATAGGCTGACATTTGTTGAGGAAAACCATGGGTACCCGAGGGGTAACATAGGCTAGAAAAATTAGATTTTTTTATTCAAACATCACGAAATTAATTTTTTCAAAGGTTCAAAACTCATGATTTAATACCAAGCGCGGGTAAACGGCGAGAGTAACCATGATTAATATGAATGATAATATAAACCAAGACAACGCCGGGCACTATAGTTAGTAATATAAACATAAACATCAAGTTAACTTTAAAAAGAAATCCAATCATTAATTTTGTAAATTCTTAAGACCAGAGATTCTCTGGGTAGTTTACTGGTTTATTTCAATGATAAACATGCGTGCTGGCTACTCAATCATCCTGCTGGGATACGTTTTACAGATCCATGCAAAAGATAGTCGTTGGTCTAATATAAGACATGAAATAATCGTCCAGAGAGAACAACTGTCCCTGAGATAAATTGTTTGTAATTAAAAAACTAAAAACAGTTTTTTTACCATAGAGAAAACACATTATTAGAGTTGAAACATTTGATTTTTGTTTTTCAAGACAAATCAAAATTCACTTCCTGTATATTTATGAGATTTAGAATTCAGACCAATTTGTTAATCCAGGGGTGGCTTTGGGGGCTCAGCCCCCCACAATGTATGCTTAGCCCCGAATTCTCAATTGAAAGAAAAAAATTCCCCCCCTGGATCAATTCCTGAGTACCCCACTGGGAGGAATCTTAATTAACTAACATCATGCGTAAAAGAAGCCTATGGTAACCTGTATAAGAGATGGTACAGAAATAGGTTCCTCAGCACCCAATCCAGTTTCTTCTTTACGTAACTTTACGCAAATATTGCGCCGTGAGGTGATGTATTCGGTGGCTGGTAAAACCTACAAAAAAAAATTTTGGAAGTTAGAAAAAGTAATTATGAAACATTTAGAAAAAAAAATATATAAACATATCGTTTTCTCAGATTCAAAAGTTTCTGTACTCTAAATCTTTTTTCATTTTAGAAAAATTGTTGAATGAATAGTTATATAAAATCAACCCCGTGTTTAAAATCATCAAATTTCCAAAAGCAATTACAAAATTTTTTTCTCATAACTATAAACTATTATTTTCATGAAAAAAAAATATTTTCTCCTTTTCATCAAAATTTGTTATTCTTATTTTTCATTTTTGTTGTTTTTGTCTCTGTAGAGCAAAAAATGGCATCGGATCATTAAACATTCCACGCTTGAATCTAATTAACACTGAAAATTTAATTCATTTGATTTATTCTATCTTGGTCATCTTAATATTCCACTAAATTTAATGACAGAACTCTTAAATCATACATAAGTTGGAAGGGGGAGGGTGTGCAGAAGGCTATCGTAATTCTTAATTATTGACACTTTTTTAAAATTAAAACAATTAAAATTTGTAATGAAAAAAACGTTTATACTTCTAAAAATTTTTATTGATTGATCACTCATTATAGCTCATTTTTATCTTTCATGATGAATGTGAAAAAGGTGTAAGGTCACCTTCGTCACAAAATATTATTTTTGGTCTTAAGTTTGCATCTTAAGTTTGTTAAGGATATGCAAATGGTTTTGATCTTAAATAAACTGATTACTTGTCTCAAACTATATAAATTTGATAACACCCATATCTTTGGAACAATATATTGTATACCTTAAATATTTCAAACTAAATATTCTATGTTTCGGCAAAGACAAATGGATAAATTTGTTTTGTCGTGTGCTCAGTTTAAAATTTGAATCATAACATGTAAATGAACTTTGTAATTATGATTTTTTTTCTGGGTTAGGATTTGCAAATAACCACTTATAATTTTTCGCAACCCTCCCTTTCCATTCAAACCGTTGTTACTTTTTCTAAAATAACAAAAAAAAAAATAAGGATTTGGGATTTTAAAAGGTGTCCTTCCCTCCCTTGCCACCCATCTTGTTCAGCTCTCTGAAATGCATCTAAAGAAAGTGATTAGCTGAAAGTTTTGCGTCATTTTGCCATCCAAGCTAAATGCACTCAGATGCTTACCATAAGGCCGCCAAACGTGTTTTCACAAATTGCATTTGCCTGATTTAAAAAATGGATCTATAAATAGAAAGAAATAATTTAGTTATTTAGAGGTCATCAAAATGATCTTTTCTATGAAAAAAATCTACACAACCCTCCTTTTTTTCCTGTATGATGCAACCCACCCCCCCCCTCCTCCCCAATTCTGCCAT